GAGCCTCCATCAGAACACTGCAGGGTTTCTCCTCAGATTCACAGAATGCATTCTGGGTCTGTCCTCTAGTGTAAGTCGTTGTCAGCCCCAGCATGTCGCAGTCTGCAATCTCCTGCTTCGGTGGACATCTTGTAGGTGCTGGTTAGGGGGGAGTTCAGCTTCGAGCAGAGAGTGGTGGAGGCCATAATGACCCTGTGGATCTGAACTGCTGCTTTCTGGAAGATTCCAGAAGTCTGTCCAGGCAGCTTAGGACTCAGGTCTCCCTAAGATAGTCTTTGGTTCCATTTTCTCCATATGTTGGGGTTCCCATGCTTTTGTCTCAGTTTTGAGTTTCTTTTCGTCTCAGAGAGAGGACATGAAAGGAAGCAGAGATTCACTTGTAACATTTTGGGTGTCCAGGAGTGGAGAGACTCAAGTGGTTTATCTGGTGATTGTGAAGGAGCTGATAGACAATGCAGGGCCGGTCTCTGCTTCCACATCTCACCTTCCCCTCCCTCCATCCCTCCTTGTGGTCACTTACCCACCAGCTCCAGCTCAGCCAGGTATATTGTCTTAGTTCAGGCTGAGAAGCAGTGTCCAAGTCCAGCTTAGTTCTTTAGAAGTAAATAGAGTTCCTGGATTATTATTATTGTTGTTGTTGTTGTTCTGTAAGATTAAAGACAGGGCTTTGAACATTCTAGGTAGGAAGTGTAGAGTGCCATCCTCAGCTTTTTTTAAAATTTTTTTTTGAGACAAGGTCTTACCATGTAGCTCAGGATTTTCCTAACTGGTCTTAAACTCACAGGTCCCTGCCTCATCACTGTCCCTCTCTCCCTGTCTTGGAAGTTTTCATATTCAAGGATGTCTAGCTTCCAAGACGGTTGTATTTCTAGGACTTGACCAGGAATAGTTAGAGGATGAACACTCCATATTGCTCTTCTGCCTTTAATAGGGATGGATGTCGTTTTTAACAAAATCTCCATCATTTGATTTTTTTCAATACAGACTCAGGAGTCAGGTGCTGGGGTGAAAGCCTGCCAGTTCAGAGAGGCAGAGAGAGCACCCGGCTGACCTTCCTCTTCAGCTGACATCCCAGAAGCCTCCTTCTCCTACACTGTCCCCCAAAAGACTCTTTTCTAATTCCTGTGAGTCTCTCTATCTGTCCTCCTGACTCCCTCTTACACTCTATGGTTTTTTTCTTAGTCATCCTCTGTTCACTTCCTGTCAACTGGTTCCTTGCTCTGCCTGTTGACCTATGGCTGACTTTATTTAATCCTGTTTACAATATTCAAGCAGAAAGCCCTTGGATTAAAGGTGTGTGGTAGGGCTGAGCCACACCACAGCTAGAGACAGGTTTTTCCAGTAAATAATGCAATCTCAGGGTTCACGGTGTTTTCAGATATCCTGCAACAGGTGGATGTTAAGCTTCATTGGTCAAGTCTTTTCTTTTTTTAATTTATTTTTCTTTACACCCAGACTGCAGTTTTCTTTCCCTCTCCTTCCTCTCCTCCGATTCTCCTCCCCCAACTCCTGCCACTCACTCCTCTTCTGTTTCTCCTCAGAACTGGGCAGGCTGCCCAAGCATACCAGTCAGCCAAGGTGTATCAAGTGCAGTTGGACTAGGCACCTCCTCTCCTATTAAGGCTGAGTGAGGCAACCCAGTAGGAGGAGTTGATCCCAAAAGCAGGCAACAGAGTGAGAGGCAGCCCCTGCTCTCACTGTTAGGAGACCCACAAGAAGACTGAACTACACAACTGTCACATATAGGCAGAGGGTCTAGCTTGGTCCCATGCAGGCTCCCTGGTTGTCGGCTCTGTCTCTGTGAACCCCCATGAGCCCAGGTTAGTTGGTTCTATGGGTTTTCTTGTGATGACTTGACCCTACTGGCTCCTACAATCCTTCCTCTCCTTCTGCAGGATTTCTCACATCCACCTAGTGTTTGGCTGTGGGTCTGCATCTGTTTCCATCATTTGTTGGATGACACCCCTCTGATAACAATTGGGCTAGGCACCAGCCTATGAGTGTCTCTGAGCTGTGCAGCCTCTGGGTCCTGGTGCTCCAGGCAGTGTCAGGGGTGGCTTGCCTCTTGTGGCCTGGGTCTCAGGCTGGACCAGTCATTGGTCGGCCACGCCCATGTTTTCTGTGCAACCTTTACCCCAGCACACCTGGTAGGCAGGGCAATTGAAGGTCAAAGGTTATGTGGCTGGGTTGATGTCCCAATCTCTCCACTAGAGGTCTTGTCTGGTTACAGGAGATGGCCAGTTCAGACTTTGTATCCACCATTGCTAGGAGTCTTAGCTAGCGTCACCCTCATAGATTCCCGGTAGTTTCCTATGTACCAGGTTTCTAGCTCATCCCAGAGATTCACCCATATTCCAGTTATCACTCCCAGTACTCTCTCCCTTCATCCTCCCCCAACCTCATCCTTCCTATTCCCATACTCACCCGTTCATCTCAACCCTCCCCCATCCACTGGTGATGTTTATTTTATTTCCCTTCACAGTGAGTTTCATGTGTCTCCCCTTGACTCCTCCTTGTTATTTAGCTTCTCTGGGTCTGTGAATTGTAGCATGATTATCCTTTACTTTATGG